AGGGATTGGCGTATCATCGTTGCCATGTACCCTGAAGGTGTCACTCATATGCAGTCCATCTTAATAACATCTTCCAGGAGAAAGGGTGCTGCTGTGATGTCTTCGGGACATCTAAGTGATGCCATGGCTCGGCTCTGTGTGAGCTCTGCCCTCTTGGAGGGTTTTTTAGGCAGTACAGGGGTATTCCCTTCCCAAGGGATAGAGCAGTGTCTGGGTAAAGGGAGCAACAGTGGGTGCCAGAGAGGGCTCTTCTGCAAAGTGCTGCACCTTGATTGTGGCTGAAGATTTTGAAGTCTACTTTGTGGGACAGTTCAGCTGTGTCAGTGTGAGCTCTGTAGGCTCAGAAGTGTGCCCTGTCACTTGTTAAGTGTCTTGTATTTGGAAAGGGACTGTGAGACTGAGTCTTGTAGGGATCTGTGGGTGAATGTGACTGAAGGGGTTGGTATAGGGCAGCAATCAATCAGATTTATTTGTTAGGATGTCCTTGAGGATCCTGAGGTGCTTTTTTGCCCAATGTATTTGTTCTCTGGGCTTACGGAATCTTAGATGAGTATCTGAGACACTAAGAATGACTCGAAGGAAATTCAGTTTTAAACTGAAGTTTATACATTTATGGACCAGATTTGCAACAAATCTGCTGGACTTTTAGGGCTTTTCTGTGGATTGCTGTATGTGGTCCAGGCACTTTTTTTCTGCCTGTATTCTACTTCTGAATGTTTTAACAGTTCATTTATTTATGTCCTAAATAAATTACACATTCGGTTGGGTTTTTTTGTCTGTCCCTGGCTCTAGAATACATTTAGAATTTTGTAGTGGCTTGTAAGTTGTTCTGAACTCCCCAAATTAAAGCAGCTTCTTTTGGAAGGTCCTGCTGGTGCAACCATTTTGCTTATTAACCCTGTGCAAATTTCTGCTTGATCAGGATTACCTTCTGTTTGTTTATTTTTTTTAGACATAATTCTAAAACTGCAGGCTGGAAAAGATAGTGCCCTGCCTACATTTCGTCATGTTTGTATTTCCGCATAAATTTAGGGAAAATTTATGTCCTGAACTGAGAAGGTATGGGAGGTAGTAGGACAGTATCACCTGGATTCAACCTGCCTCACTCTTTTTTTTTGGTGGGTAGGTGATAACTGTGGTATAACAGAAGGCTCTTGAATTGGTGGATGTCTGTCAGAGCAGTGAATTAGAATGACATAATTGTGTTTAAGTGTATACATTATGTCTCTGGTCTGAGAACATGGGAGATGGCTCTCCATGAGTGGACACAGTTACCACTGAGCCTGGTAAGAGCTTACTCCCGTGTGCCTGTGGCTGAATTTAATTCTGCATCAGCCCTCTTTGTATCTTTGAGTCATTTAGGAACCTTGTCTGCACATGGTGAATGGTGGAAAATACAGTGACTACTAAGTAACAGAATATTCCACGGTAAATAGAAGCTCACTGAAAAGATTATTTTTTTTTTCATCTCTGTTTGTAATGTTCCAGTGTAGTAGTCCAGAAATGCGTGGGAAATCATGTGTCTTTGCTGAGTTCAAAAGCTACACACAAAAGTATGATTTAATAAAAAGTGAGTTATCTCATTGCATACTCCAATTTTAATCAGCACTGCAAGCACTTTGTAGTTAGCTTCACTCAGTGGTATGTAGGCTTTAAAACAGAGCCTTAAGGATCCCTATCTTATTATCTTTTTAGGTTGCTTAGCATCATTTTACTGCTTTTTTTAGATTTTACCTCTATGAATCACTGTGAGACTTTTTTTTTTTTCCCCCTTATATAGGGCCAGGCCATGCAGAATTTGTCCTTAATCAGTCACAGTTCTGGTGGGTGCTAATGGGACAAACTGCCCTTTTGGGGGGCAGGGAGAGAGAAGCCCAGGGATTTCTGTGAGCGTGGCTCTGCCGCTGTCTGTGACAGGCCTGTAGAAGAGGAGGGTGGGCAGAAGAGAGGGAAGCTTTAAGACGCTGTAAGCAGTCCAGCATCATACTGGTGCCAAAAGCAGCTTTTGTTTTCAAGGATGGATCAGTGCTAGGAACTGGTCACAGCTCAACAAGTTGTCACATCTCACTGGAGCCTCAGTAACCGGCAGAGTGTGTGCTCTTACCCCTTCTTCTACTTCTCTGTCCCTCTCTTGCAAAATAAATTCATTTGTGTTAACCACCTCTTTGCATTCCTCTTAATTAACTGGTCAAGAAGGTAGCACGAATGGAAAAAATAAATGCTTGTGGGTGCTCTAGTTGGTAAGGAATCACAATTCAAATCAGAGTTCAGAAGCATCATTTTAAATAATAAATAATTAACAAAAATACATAGTGGGTAGCATGAGTACCAATGCTAAAGATAGGACCACAAGATGTATATGTAGGACTTAAGGAATTAAAGAAGCAGTCAGTCACAGTGACGGTCCAATTCTGTATTCTCTCTCTCTTTCTATTGCCCACTCAAGTATATAGTATATCAGCAGTGTATCTGCAGGTAGCCTGATTTCTCCAGACTGTGGCCTGTTCCTACTCTGTTGGTCTTAAACATGAGAGGAGATTCCATCTCTGTGGAATCAGTGAGCTCTGGCATTCAATTCCTCCTATCATTTACTCCAGCTCTTCTTGCTCTCCAACTAAAAGTCTCAGTTTTTTCAGCTGTAAGAAAACACAGGTTCTGCACATGTTGGCTCTCATTTCCTTAGTTCTCCCTCGTTTGATATAAACACCAGCAGAATTGCACACCTACTTGCAGGTTGCCTTGACAACACCACAGGAATATTCCTCAATGTCTCTGCACCGTAAAGCTGCAGTAAAGCCGTAATCTCCACTGGGCTATTGATATAAATGATTAATAATTTTCTGCCAGCTGTGTCTTGCTGTCTTATTTGCATGGAGGAATGTCTCATGCAGTCTCTGTTGATTCCATAACCTCTGTCATGACTCTTGAGTCTTCCTAGCACAACACATATCTAAAATGTCCGTCAGCATTTTCTCTTTCTTTCTTGAGGACCGCTTCACATTCATAGAGCTCGGAGTAGTTCTTAATCCACTGTACTTCTTTCTCCTCATCCATTGTTACTGTTTTTTCTCTTCAGCTTGCTTCTACTGCAGTTTGGGTATTTTTGTGAGAGGGGGTGTGTTTCTCTAGTAGTATGCATAGTTGCTCTGTAATTCTGTGTGACATTCTAGTAGAAGACCAACCCTCACCACTTTTTCAGTGATCACAGTGATGGTCCAATTCTATATTCTCTCTCTTTCTATTGCCCATTCGAGTGATCTGTAATATTTCTTTACTTCAACACCAGGCTTCTCAGATGCTAAAATGGAGGCAACCAAAGGTGCACTGGTATCAAATACTGTTTGTTCTTTGTCATTTAAGACTTTTATACTATATCTTGCTGTCTTCTTATTAATGCCAGGACAGTATGGAACATAAGAGTTTAAAGGCTTATCTGGCCCTTCTAAGCTGTTTGGTTTTGCATACGTCTGCTTTATTTCTGATATTTTTTTCTGGGGTTCCTTTACAAGTCTTTTTCAGTCTGGTGTTTTTCCTTCTGTGTCCTAAAAATATCCTTGGCTACTAAACAAAATTGCATCAGCTATGAAGATATATTTCCTCTCCTTAGCTCTGTTGAGTAATCCACATGTCTGGCGTGATTTGCCTCAAGTAGTCCAAG